GATCTATCAATTGGCTCCTCTTCGTCGTCGCTCTGTTACGTCATATGCTTCGTTGATCTGATTGGTTTATTTGGCCTGTCTATCACCAACATAGGCCAATCAGCTACCCAATATTTTTGCCCCTTCTCAGAATTACTTCACCAGAAGGTTTCCAGATGGATATGCGGAGCAAATCCATCTGGCGGAGTCAGGTTAGCATAAATATGGGTCAATTGGAAGAGAAGCGTACTTGTGATGTCACCACATGCTCAGCTCGTCTGGAGCTGCATTTCACCTCCTGGTATTAATAGTCTCTAGATAATAATAAATTCTGAATTTTTTCATTTAGTGGGGGGGATAATAATGAACACAATCAGATAAACACAAATCAAATGAACATTTTGCCAAATAAAACAAAAATATGGCCATCAGAACCAGCTGTACTTCACATACGGCACGCTGAGAGAGGGCTGAGAATTAGACCTGGCTACCGTTACCCTCTGAGGTCCGCTGGTTGCCGCGGTCCTCTCAACTTCAGCATTTAATCGGTAAATGGACCATTTAGTGACGCTTAAAAGTTTTATGATCTCACCTCAAATGATCTTAAAATGCAATTTTATTGAACAACGGCAACAGAAAAGAGAACTGTTAGCTTATGACTCTGAGCTCTGTGAGTGCTCCATTGAAAGCTGCTGCAGTGCATACTGGGACAGCTGTCAATCTCAAGAAAGGATAAGTCTGCTCTCAAGCATACTTGGTAAATAGGCAGGGGCAAGAACAACATCCGGGGACTTTGTTCGTTCTCAGTCTGCTGTTCTTGTGAATTGGAACAATGCTAGGGCTGAGGATGATGACGTTTCACGAGTACACGAGCACATGAGAACGCACAAGTACACATATTGAGAAACGGCCTTAGTGTACTCCAACGGTCAGACTGTTTTCCCATCACAACTCCAGTTTTATCCCTGTTGGAATCAAACATCTTCTCTGCCTTTATCCACTTGATCTTTGACTTTTCTTTTTTTTTGGAACTATGCAGGGATTTCCACACTCGTTCGCCTCCATTGCTTTTACTAGTTGGCCAATTGCACAAATCTGCAGTGATGTAATAGGTCACATGATGTTGTTATTGTAAAAATACACACAAAGCCTGTACTTACAATCAAACTGAGCAAAAAAAAAAAATGTTTTTCATAAAAACATTGTATTCAAAAAATTCAAAAATCAGATAACAGGACTATTTATATACCTTTAAAAAACAGAAAAGAAATTAGTATTGGCCCAGAAACGTGTAATCAATGTTTATTTGAAAAATAAAGTAAAGGGACACAGTATAATAGCGGGAAAAGATCTTTTTTCATAGTTAATCGGCTTAATAGATTTCACCTAATTAAGTTTCCTTGCAAACATGGTGTGTTTCTTATACATAACAATGAATATGCT